TTCCTCACAGCGTTACTGGAGGCCAAGGTAATGCCATCCACAGTAAGAATCTGGTTAGATACCATATTTCTAAGATTTTCAGGGCCAAGTACAATAACCTCAGTTATATCTGAATTAAGAAGCAGAAAGTTAGCGGCCATCCAGGTCTTTATGTCTTTAAGACATTCCTACAATTTAACTAATTGGTGTGTGTTATCTGGCTTCACAGATAGATAGAGCTGCGTGTAGGGCTGCCACGATTAGTCGACTAGTCACGATTACGTTGACTATCAAAATCGTCGACGACTGATTTAATAGTCGACGCGTCGTTTGAAGCTTTATAAGATCACAAAAGACGCAGGAATGAGTAGTGGGATTTAAGAGTGTAATAACAGACTGAAACAGAAGATGGCAGCACTGCATGTACAAGGATGCCAGCTGCCGTTAAACCCCGAAGAAGAAGTAGCTCTGTCCCAGAATTCAAAGCGCAGCCCAGCTCAGTTTCCAACAATGGCAGCAGCTAGTTAGTTTTAGTATTACTCTTATTATTCTTTCTGGGTCACAAAATAAACGTTTAACATATTTTTAGGCGAGAATGTAACTGTGTAAACCTCAAATATCTGCTCAGTTTATCAAGACACCACATATTTTCAAAAGCGCTCCGACGTTTTCGGAGACGTCTGTTACCCACTAGCTCGATAGCTAGCCGGGGGCAAAGCTCACTAAAGCCGGTGAGAACCCCGGACTCCGGTCAAATCGTTTTCAAACCCACCGCCGTCTTTCGCTATTCAGGTTAAACATATACAAGTCACTTAGATAACTTTAAAATGTTATTGTTTGGCTCTTTTTTAGTATTTTATTTATTCCTGAGTAAATCGGTTTGGCTGAGATTAAAGTTATAGTTTTTAACACAGCTGAATAAACGTCAAGCAGACAACTGATTATCAGAAGTGTGAGATGCTCGAGAATATATTCCAGTGTCCCGTTATAGTTTAGATAGCAAGGAGTTAAACTTCACCGAAACAATCTGTAAATTTCATTAAAATTTAATAAACTATCATCTTGCCTTTATTTTTAGTTAGCACATACCTTAAACACTTAAAGCTGTAAGCTAATGATAGTTATATAAGAGCAGATGCTGCTGGTGCAATAAGCTGTACGTTTTACGTCCAATGGATGCATGCTTTGATTAGTCGACTAATCGCAAAAATAATCGGTGACTAGTCGACTATCAAAATAATCGTTTGTGGCAGCCCTAGCTGCGTGTCATCTGCATTGCTGTAAAAATTTAAGTTATGTCTTCTAATGATACTGCCTAGGGGAAGCATGTATAATGTAAACAGAATTGGTCCTAGCACCGAACCCTGTGGAACATCATAATTGACCTTAGTGTGTGAAGAGGACTCTCCATTTACATGTACACATTGGAGTCTATTAGATAGATATGATACAAACCACTGCAG